ATCCAAACTTCGTCGTTATTAAAAATTAAAGATTTTCTTGCATGATATATTATTTTTTTATCGTCATTTTTTATAATAATATGTTGTTCGACGAAACTGATTGCGTTGGTAAGAATGTTATTACTAATAGATGGGTAAAAATCATTTATATCAAAAATTAGAAATTTGCAAAGGTGTTTATTTTTGATTTTTAAACCAATCGATAACAAAATGGGTGCTTTGCCATTGATTCAACTGTAGTTTGTTTTTTAATTCGTGAATAATTTTAGATAAAATAACTTTACTAATTATTCCTACCTCGTTTTCCGAAGGGTTTAAAAGGCGAACTGAAGGGTTTTTAATAAAAATATCCTAATGGTCTTTTAATGTAAAAAAACAGCCGGACGATCCGTTTATCTCAATATTGTTATACACTTCATGGTGGATTAAAAGGTTTTTTCCTTCCTTAATTATTTGATCTTTTAATTCTGGCATCAACTTTTTGTAGGTAGAAGTAATTGCATTTGTTAACAGTTTGTTGTATTCATCTTTAGATAATTTATATAAATTAGATGTTTTGTCTGCCTTTACTAATATTTTATGCGACGTATGTATGGATTTTAAGTCTTTTTGCATATTATTTTGAAACTTACAGTTTACGTTGCAAAATTTTATTGATTTAACTAAGTTTATAAGGTCTTTTTCGAAAGAACGCATTTCATTTATTTGTGGTGGGCATTTTGATGATTTGATTCCGTAGTCTGTATAATTTGAATCATTTCTCTGGTAGTTATTTATGAAAATAAACACCTTCCATCTCATTTTCTTTACGAGCATTTCTGTTTTGTTTAGTAGTTTTAATTTATAATCTTTTTCAGATGGAATCGGTATATTTTTGATTGAATATTTCAAGTTTATTTTTTCCATTTTTGTTGACGACTTGAGAAGAGTGCTCAACTTGTAGGAGCAAATTTGTGCAAAATAAAAAATGTATTATTATGGTATAATAATAATAATACAAATACTCTTGTGTGTTTAAGAGTGCTCAATACTATTAAATAATAGAGCAATATTTATTTATTTATATTAAATGAATAAAAACAACTTTTGATGGAACTCTGAGTTTCATGCCTTTTGGCAATCATCAGCCATTGTGTATTTCGTCACTTAAAAACCGTTTAAAAATTACAAATTAAAATTACGGTGGAATGAGTTCTGATGTTACAAAACAAAACAAAACAAAAAGACGTCAAAGGTTTTAGTCCCCGGTATCAATTAAGGATAGTAAAAATTTTTTTGAATGCCGGCACTTTGATATTATTTCATATCTTTTATTAAGTAAGTTTTCTCCTTTATATGATAATATGTGAAACTTCTCGCGGAGACAAAGATTACAAACTTTTGATGCTTGATTGTAGGGCTTACATCGTGCTATTATCTTCCATGTAATCACAGGATTTCAGAATATATATATATATTTATATATATATATATATATATAATTTTATATTTTATATATATATATATATATATATATATAATTTTATATTATATATATATGATATATATATATATATATATATATATATATATATATATATATATATATATATATATATATATATATATATATATATATATATATATATATATATATATATATATATATATAATATATATATATAAAATTTAAATATATTTTTCAAATCAAATTGAATTATATATTTTTTAAATTTAAGTTAAATTATATATGTTTTTTTATCAGAATAAAATTACATATTTTTATTAAATAAGTTTTAAATTAAATTTTCTTTTATCAGAATTAAATTATGTTTTTATTATGGTCTTTGCTTCAAACTTAAAAAATCAATCATTGCAATAAAATAAAAATAAATTTTTAAATTTGAGTTTTTTTAAAAACTCAAATAAAAACAGAAAAAAATAATTATTTAGTTATAAAAATTATTTATTTAGTTTAATTATATAGCGTATATATCAAACATAATTGTCATTCAAACTTTTGTAACAAATATTTTCACATAAACACCATTAATAAGTTAATGTGAATTTTTTAAAATTAATTTCTTCTTTTATCTTACCACTTACCATAGATTTCCCTAATTCTGAACAAAATCATACTTAAAGTTGAATAATTCCTCTTGTTTTTTGAATTTCAAATTAGTTTTTTTTAATAAATAACCTGGAACCTAAAATAAATCAAACCATATTATGCAACAGGTATATTTATTATAAAAATATTGTTAATTTTTAAATTTAAAAAGTAAAGTTTTCGTTTGGAATTAGGAATATGTTTTCCTAATTCCAAACGTACATATCAAATCCCCAAAAATTGCATTCAATTCAAAAAAGTAAATAATTTTTACTAGCGTAGACCTCCAGCATAGAGTAAAGTAAAAAGATTTTTAAATTTTAAAATTACTTTTGTTTTAATATAAGGGTATAACATTGTGTTAGTACAGAGTGTGCGTTATGTATTTATTAGATCCTGTCTTCCATATTT